AATCTCGGCCTTGTTCGGGGTAGGGCTCGCGGGTATCAAGTTTGTCAGATTTTTTTGGCATTCCTACTTGAGTCCAATTTATATTATTTAATACGAGCTACAAAATGAGTATAATATCGATATATTTTTCTCAACTTTTAAAATACTTAAATATTCTACCTAAATAACTTACGATAAATTTATAAAAAAATACACGCAAGCAATTAAGCCCCCGTTTGACACCCATTATTTTGAAGAATGAGTTTTTGAATAGTGATTGATGTAAAGAATGTGTGGTTAAAAAGTAAGAAAAATTTTTGGGTTTATGTGTAATATTATTTTATTTGAAGAATGTGTGGTTTTTCTCTATAAATAGAGCTATATAATTCAAGTTCTACTTGAGCTTGATGAATATATAGCCCCCGTTTGACACCAATTATTTTGAAGAATTAGTTTTTGAATAGTGATTGATGTAAAGAATGTGTGGTTAAAAAGTAAGAAGAATTTTTGGGTTTATGTGTAATATTATTTTATTTGAAGAATGTGTGGTTAGAAATGAATATTGTAGAAAAATGAGAATGAGAATGAAATAAAAAATGGGTGTCAAACAGGGGCTAAATCATTTATACAAATAAGTGGGTCAAGTTTATCACTTCAATTTTTGGACTTAGTGTGACGACAACTCTAGACATGGACTATTTCATTTGTTAAATGACCAACATTAAATTTAGATCCTTACGAAAATAGTACGAAAATTTGGGGTGTTACATATATTAACCGCAAAGAGAGAGGAGGACATTATAATCAATAAGTATAGAATGTCGAAGTTAAAGAATGTCCAATTGAAGACAATCTTCATGCATCTTCACTTGATTAATGAATCTTATACATCTTCTTTAAAATAACTTTTATTTCTTTTGAGTATTGCTTAGTCTATTTATTTTTCTAAATAGTAAAGTTATCATTTTACCCATTTTAATTTGATCAAAATTAGTCAAAATTCACTTTTGTTGGTCAACTAACGGTCCATCCATTTGAACCCCAGCTACATGTTTTTAAAAAGTTTAGGGACTTTATTTGTACAAAATGAAGGTTAAAGTTAAATCTATAAAAAATAAAAATACTAGGGACCGCTGCAATTTTTCCTAAATCTCATTTTCAATAAATCAACATTAAAAAAAAAAAGGACTCTGCCTACATATTTACCAGACTACCCCTGTAAGCTAAACAAAGAAGCAAGTCGAAGATGGGCAAGAAAGGAAATGTGGCAGTATAAATAGGGGCTTCTATCTCATTCACAAATCACCGTTAGCTCGGAATCAAAGAATTAGGGTTGAGAGAGAGATTGGGGATTTCTGAAAGGGTGGTTACCCCTCTCTCTTTACCCAATGATTTCTCCATTTTATGCAACAAACAGCCCTTAACTTTCAACAGCAGAAGCCCGATGAAATACAAGAATAGTCTCTCTCTCTCTCTCTCTCTCTACTTATATGCCACCGTGAGCCAATGTTCGGCTCATGTTTATAACGCACTCGGATTTAGAGCTTAAATTATAAGGATTTATTTCCTTTCGAGGAAATTGTTCTGGTAAATTTAAAGGGGCTGTGATGATATTTCGTTTTTTTTTTTGTTTTTCTGAGCTAATGGATTGGGAACTGAGACAATTTTACTCGTATCTTGGCGTGGCAACTCTGGATGGCTGCGATTAGGGTTTCTTGGTCACCTGCAACCAGTGTTTTGCAGCCATGGCGAGGTCGAATTGTCTTTGCCTATTTATTATACATAGATCTGAGCCTCCATTCTTTCTTTTTTTCCTCCCAAAATTTCCATTTTTCTTAAGATTTTTTTTAAAATTTAAATTTCGGATCTTTGCCCATTTGGTTTGGGTTTTTTAAATTCCTTGAAAAAACAGTGACAAAAGGAAGGAAATGATTTTCATGATTTATGGAATTTTTATTTTTTTTATTTTTGTTAATTAATTTATAGTAGAGATTTTTTTTTAAAAATTGTATAAATAAAATGTGAAAATAATTATGGAAAAAAAAAATGATTTTTATAATTTTGTCGATTAATTAAAAATTGGACTGATTACCAAAATTATATGGGATTTCCTAAATTGTTCCGTCCCTTGTCCTTAAGAAATTAAAAATAATCAAATGCCATAAGAATCCAAAATTAAAATTCTAGTAACAAAAAATCTAAAATGTTGAAAGAACATATTAATGAGCTAAGTGGTTGAACGGAAATTTATCGGAAAATTAATGCCATAAGATTGAATTAAAATAAAATTTATCGGAAAATTAGACAGTTGAACGGAGGCTCAGATCTGTGAATAAGAAGCAGGCAAAGAGTGTGTGATTTCGCCATGGCTGCAAATAACTGGTTGCACTGTGATTAAGAAACCCTAATCACAATACCATCCAAGGTTGCCAAGCCAAGATACGAATCGAATTGTCTCAATACCAGTTCCATTAGCTCAGAATCGAAAATAAAGTGAAAACATCATCATAGCCCCTTCGTATTCAACTGGTCAATCTCCTCGAAGGGAAATTAACAGAACAGATGGTAAAGAATAGCAATAATCTTATGAAAAGCCCCTGTTTGACCCCCATTATTGGTAAGTGATAAAACCCGAGCGCTCGCAATAGCCAAACGAATGTTGTTGGTCTGTGTGGGAAAGAGAGGGAAGCATTTTCTGGTTGTTCTTCTGCTTCTGCTTTCTGGGATTCCAAGTAAAGGGCTGTTTAATTCTTAAAAATGAAGAAATCATCGGGTAAACAGAGAGGGGTAACCACCCTTGAATAATTCCCCCAATCTCTCTGAACCCTAATTCTTTGATTCTGAGCTAATGGTGATCTGTCGATGAAGAAGAAGTCCAAATTTATATTGCCCGACATTTCCTTTTTTGCCCATTTTCGCCTGCTTCTTTTTGGTCTGGGCCACAGGGTATTCTGGCAAATGGGTAGTTAGGGATTTTTTTTGAATTTACATGTAAAATTTTTTTATTTGATTTCTTAATTTTTAATAAGTTTTTCTTTAATGTGTCTTACTATCAATACATATGAAATACTTCTACTTTAATGATTATTCAACGTAGATGTGCACTAAGAAAAATACAAGTAACATTTTATATTTTAAATTAAATTAATTATATTTTCTTAATTTGTGTAAAAATTGAAGTAAGTCTATTTTTATGAAACAAATGGAAATGGAGTATCAATCGTGACATTCAATAGGTAGATGTCACAATAAGAGTGACATAACGTCTTGAGAGCCTTATTAATTAATATGTATGCATACAGAAAATAACTAGTTTTGACATAATTTCAAGCTTTTATAGAGAAAATTGATGGGTGGTCTATACAGTCATCACAATTTTTATTTGATACACCACATTTTAATTACAGTTAAAATTCTCAATCTTTGCTCATTATAACATTTATTTTCTTAACTTTTTTTGGTCGAATTCTTATCTTTAATCATTCATTAATTAGTACGTCTTATTCCCGATGATAATTTATATCAAAATATTTTATTTTCATACTTTGAAATGAGGGAATATTTTTTTTTTTTTTTTTTTGCATTTTTAAAAAAAAGAGATATGATAGAAAAATAAGTTGTTTTATATAATTTCGATGGACGTATGGACATAAAATTATTATCAAATACAAAATATGTTAACTAATGGAAAGTTTGAGAATAAGAATGTTATGAAAAATTGTTAGAAACATAAGTATTATAATGAGCAAAGATTACGAACTTTAAGTGCAATTAAAATGTGTTACAAGAAATAAATATTGTGGTGTAAATATAATGACCCAAAATTTATATCATTTTCTATCAATGTAATTAGTTTATGGCCTAGATTTGAAAAGTGTTTATACACTATCTACATTAAATGGACAAAAAGGTAAAATCAAATTTCATCTGCAGATCTTGTGAAATTCACAAGTACTAATCACTTATTTATCACTCATTTTTATCTAGACATACAATGTCATTTACTAAATGCTTTCCTAACAAGTTCTAATCACATTTAATTTAATAGTCAAAGTCAAATAATTTTAACCATGCATTCCGTAAAATACGCATTAGTAGGCATTGTAGTTGTTCGCACAATGAGTAACCTACCAAGATGCTAAACCCCAGTTTGGTTTATGTTAGATTTTTAGTTGATTTTGATAAAATTTGAGTACGTTGTGCATCCCAATAAATGCGAGGTTGAAATTTTAGAAAATGGAGGTCAAGGGCTAATTAATGTGTAGTTATCCAAATTATTATTGTTGTTTGACTCAATAAATTATGACAATAGGGATCTTGCGAGCATATTTGTGCTTGTTTGGGAAAATTTAAAATTTTGCAAAACTTGTAGGGACTAAAATGCAATCACCGACTTTATTTTCAACAGCCACCAGACCAGAATCTTCCATTTTTCCGCCCAAATCTTTACTCCATTAATCAATAATCTTAAACCCTAGATTGTGATATAATTTTACTCACACTGAGTGATATAGAAAAACAAAATTTTCACCTTTAATTACTTATTTTGGGTGCAAGTAAGATACCGTCAAATCCTTGTGTATTATTAATGTATCTGTCACGAACTCAATTCTTTAATCTCTTAAAATAATCGAATATTGATCTTGATGCAATAACAAACTCAAGTATAAAAGGGTTTCGTGATCTAGCGGCAATCCAGTTTTCAATCTTGGGGCCCCTTCCTCAAGGTGCTGTTGAAATTTGGACCTTTTATTTCAAATCAAATGGTAATATTCACTTCCCTTGGCTGCATTTTGTTATTTTTCCCGAAAAAGAATTAGTTTGATTGCGTTTTAAAATATAGTTTTCATGATTTATAGCATTGAATATAGCTTAATTATAATACAGATTCAATCAAGTTATTTTCTTTTAGCTGCAGTTTACATTTGTTTTATCGGGATTCTGGTTCTGATCTCCTTTGAAAGAAAAGAATGAAATCAAAAATAAAATGGTTGGCACTCGGAGGACTGGTGTTATCATTTATGTCCTTATTGGTGCATTTGTTTCTTGCCAAGTCGAGTGTCAATCTGGTACAGTACAGTACAATCACGGCCTTCACCGAGGATTTTAATTACCCGACCACACCCAGCAGAAAGGTAAAGAGTTCTATATGAACTTCGCAAATTGATTTTGAATTACAATTTTATATACTTATATTCAGATGTAGTAGATAACTCATTTCGTGAATTTGGTTATAGCTTATTAATGTGGACGATGTGTGTATATGTTGTTGAAGGGTGCTGAATATAGGAAGTTGTGGGGAAAGGTGAAGTCTTTGGAGCCCTTGCAGCCCTTTGCAATACCAAGAAGCACATACCCTGGTAATTTTATACGAGTCCCGACTCAATTCTGTTGGGATTTAGTGCTTACCTGAATCAGTATATTTATTAGCTCGAAAGTGTTAGTTCACAGCTAATTGCACATTTCAGATTTCTAGATTCTGTTTATGTAGACATTATGCATTCTTTGTATATGTGCATTTCACATATTAAATATGCGCTTGCACAAAAATTGACTGCGCAACACAAGTTTCTTGCATATAAGGGTGGCTTTTATGATTTTCTTGGCTAGTGCAAATTATACGATTGAGACGGTGTTTAGAGCTCCCCAAATCATTCTTGTATTTTGTTACTTACTTTCCCCTCAATTTTAGGTTATCCAATTACCAGTATAATTTGGTACTGATAATAATATTGTTAGTGTAACTGGGATTTCCAAATGAAGAGTAGTTATTAGGTTGCAGTGCTCTTGAGACTGTGATCTCGATGAAATGGATATTGATTTGTATTTCAAAATTAATTTAATTTTTACGAATGGAAAGAGTTCAGGCTGATTTGATCTCCCTTGGCAGAAGTATCTGGGTAGATCTTGAGGATATCATTGGCTGTGTACGGATCTTTATATATTTTATTTGTAAGAGAAACAAAACGAGATTGATGAGCAGAGAAATAAATACTAGGGACTATTTTGAATTCTTTAACTATCACTTCTTTAACATGAATCAGCATTAATAATGCAGACCAAGAGTTGTTAAAGCATTTTTTTTTAAAAAAAATATTTGATGTACATCTCATTGTTTTTGCAAATTCCCCAATTTAATAGTATCAAGACCATATTTTGGCACTTTCACACTTAGATCAGTATATGTAACTTCTGAGAATATGATGTGATAATAGTTTGATTGACCATTCGACACAAAGACCCCATAGAATGATATACCTCACAATTGAAAGAATCAACTGAATTGTTGTTTATATGTAACAGGTTCAAAACTGGAAAACTGCTGCATACCTTTTCAGATTATTTTTTAAATGTTTACCCTTTGTTGCATCGTGAAACATGAAAAAGCTAAATAAAACTCAAGTGTTGCATCAGTAAGCTTATTTTATTTGAATATCGTCAAGGACTAGTTCCAACTTAGAATCTGAGTGTAAATTACTTCTGGTTCACTTACTTTTAATGGATTCTAGATTCTTATTTCTTTCATTTCCCAGGCGATAGTTTTTATTCTTAATGTGTCATTGTATTTATCTTTCTGTGCTGCTCCTTTTATCAGTCTTTTACATAAAAAGGATGCATTATACCACTGCGGAGATCTTGCTTGAGCGCATGATGTATTCTATTCTTCACTCTTGAAACTTGGAATTCTTGAATTTTCTATTTCTAGATACATTAATTTATCCAATATAAAAACAGGAAATGCTTGTCTTTATACAAAATAGCTGAATTTTTTGTCTGATTGGGCACTAATAATGTCGATGACAAGGAGTTGTTTTTTTGTTTCAATGATTCTTCCCCTATGATATTGACTGACTTCTCATGTCAGCTCCGAATGAGTTGAACAATGAATGCTTATGTTTATACAAAATAGCTGAATATTAATGTCGATGACAAGGATTTTTGTTTTTTTGTTTCAAAGATTCTTCCCCTATGATATTGACTGACTTCCTCATTTCAGCTCCAAATGAGTTGAACAATGGTTTCATTTATGCTAAGGTTTCTGGTGGCTTTGACAAGATTAGAACCTCGGTATGCTCAGTTTTCTCTAAATTTTTTTTTTCTGTTTTCTTCAATATGAAGCTCCTAACTGATTGCTACTCTTTTAGATCTGCGATTTGGTCACTGTGTCAAGGCTCCTAAATGCTACCCTTGTTATACCTGAGATTCAAGAAAGTACACAATCGAAAGGCATCAGGTTTTGTTAAGTTTGAAAAAGAAAACAGGAGGAAAATTTAAATCATATTGCACATTTCTGAATACTAAATTGCATTAAATACATTGCAGTTCCAAGTTCAAGAGTTTTTCGTATCTTTATAATGAAAAGCAATTTATAGCAGCTTTAACAAATGATGTGACCGTCGTACATGACCTACCATTTGGCTTTAAGGAGGCCAGGAAGCGCAAGCAGTTTCCAATTTTCAAACCAAAAAGTTCTGCTTCTCCCAGTTTTTACTTTCAGGAAGTTTTGCCAAAATTAAAGAAAGCAAAGGTCATTGGCTTACTAACTGATGGAGGATGCTTACAGGTACATATTGCATTTTATATATTTTTCTCTCTATTCCTTGTTTTGGAAAACCATGATTGTCATCAATAGAAGAATAATCTTTTGGAGTTTTAAGGAGTCTGAAGTTTTTGTTAGTATTTTTTAAAACAACATGTTCCTTTTCTGATGGAGCCACGTTATAGACCAAATGCAAAAAAGTTCGGACCACTTTTGGCATTTGTCTCGATTGCCAGACAAAGCGAAGGGGGATGCTGGGCTACTTAAGCACAAGTAAAACCATTTCAAAGTTATCCAAAATAGTGCGAAAAGATATTGTTTTTTGATCTGTCTCTTGAAATGAATTTGCTTAAGATGTCTTTTGTGGTTTTTAAGTTTTTTTTTATGAGCAATAATTGTGGAGAACTAATTATCAAAAAGAAACAATGCAATAGGGGAAGCAAAAAGAGAAGAAAAGGATAAAAAAATGATCAAGAGTTAAAAGCTGTCATAAAAGAAATTGGTAGCACTGTTTTTCAACTCAAATGTTAACATGAATCAGCGTGAGTGGTGAACATTAATATATATCTCGGTTATGAACTTTTCTACTTATTCTCCTTTTCCTGGTCATACCGACCTCAAATCTTCTTTTAGTTGCAGCATGCATCTTTAAGACGTTTCAGATTTTAAAGTTTGACTAGGAAAGTGAATTATGAGCTTGTGTAATATATATGTTTTTGGGGACCATAACTGAAACTAAAAATTGCATCCACAAGCCCTAATCTATATGTTGATGGGCAGTTTTCTCTGCATTCAATTTTTCTTCCCAAAGAGATTCGATAATAAATTTTTTTCCCACTGTAACAGTAGCTTTTCTTACTGCTCTTTTTCTTCCCAGTCTGTCCTTCCACCGAGCTTGGCTGAGTATCAGAGGCTCAGATGTCGAGTTGCATTTCATGCACTTCGTTTCCGCCAAGAAATTATTGCGCTTGGGCATCAGATGGTAGAAAGGTGAGAAAATCTGATCGCCATTTGTATTTAAATAGTTATTAATTGTGGTAGCAATCACGTGCAATGAGCAATAAATAGTCATTAACAATATAAACACTTACGATGGAAATGTTTTCAATGTTTTTCTCCAGTGAGTACGAGACACAACCATTGGAATAATATTTGTGATGTACCCCTAGACACCTATCTGAAAAAATTCTCTTCCCTGTCATTTAAGAAAATCTGTATTTCTTTTTCCTAATTTGAACCCCAGATGACTAATAACAAATGAAACTAAGAACATATGAAAAGAACAAAATTGTCTAGCATCACTGCATAAGACAGAAGTTATGCTAGCCTATTTCATCAGAAGATATAGCTTTATGACGATTCTACTTTCCTGAACTCAAAAAGATTTCTGTCCCAAGGAACTTGTTATACTTTGTTTTTATTTTTCCTCTATTTTTTTTTGGCTGGACTTCTTGAGAATCCTTGGATGCAATAGCGAAATATGATGTCAGAAGATTTTCTCTCAATGGCTGTAAAGTTTCCATATAAACACAAAACTACCTTTTACTGATATGCATTTGCTCGTTTTAAGATTATGTTCTTACAAGTTTTTCTCTGATCCACAGGTTGCGAGGTTCTGGTCAACCCTATCTAGCTTATCACCCTGGTCTGGAGAGGGATTCCCTAGCATATCATGGTTGTGCCGAACTTTTTCAGGTTGCCAGCGCATTCCACTCATTGATATCATCAGCCATATTCTTAAATTCTGATTTCTGAAGTACGGATTACGAGGTTGAGGGCAAATAAGGCCATAGGCTCAGAAGTATTTAATTTTATTCATTCTTTTCTTGTTGGAATTGAAGTAGCTTAATATAATCAAGTGTTTAATAAATATTACAGAGGCACTTCTTGCGGTGATGTTCATCTCTCTTTCATGATATCATAAACTGAGCACTCTTTCTCAGAGTTGAACAAGTTAACCAGAACCTATTAACTTACCATATCAGATTTAGCTTTAAAATTTCATATCGCCATTCTACTCTGATATATTATTTTTCTCTCATTATGTCCTCTCCTTATTTCTTAATTGATGCTGTAATAGCCTGAAATCTATCTTCATCTGTATTTGAGAGAGAACATATATAACATAAAAAATTATACTGCCCCTGAGCTGTCCATCCTCATGTTTGTGTAGGATGTGCACACAGAACTTATACAATATCGACGGGCACAGATGATCAAAAAAGGAATTATAAATGAAAAACTGCATGTAGATTCACACGCTCGAAAAGGAAACGGATCATGCTCATTTATGCCAGAAGAGGTACAATCACTCACTTCTTTGGTTATGCAATCCAGTTATTGTCTCTCTCTCTGCTACAAACTTTGGATGGACCACTTTTTTGTTATCGCTGAAAACTTTTATGTAAGTGGGTTCCAGCTGTAATATATTAAAGTGTACCATGTCTCTCTTCCATCAATCGGTACTAGTTGAAGTAATGAAAGTTCCCCTATCTGTTTGATGAGAATGCGAGCCGAATAAAAGGATCCCACATTGGGATTGAAATTGTGCTCCCTTTGTCCCCCTTTCACAGAAAATGGAGAGATCAGTTGTTTTATCGCACTCTGTTAACAGAATGCAAAACCCTCTCGATAAGGATTCGCCTTTGATTGCTTTTACTGAAATCTGAAGATGTACAATACTACTTTCTATGTTTTTTGTCAGAGGTACAAGGTCATTTTTGAGATGCAGCAAGAGCTTATATTTTATTATCACAAAATTTGTAGGTTGGACTTTTCCTTCGAGCTATGGGTTATCCTCCTAGAACACGAATATACTTGGCAGGTTCTGAAATATTTGGTGGTCAAAGGGTTCTGATTCCTTTACGTGCCATGTACACCAACTTAGTGGACCGTACTTCTTTGTGCAGTAAACAAGATCTGGCCAATGTGTTCGGCCCAGAAACTCAACTTCCTCTCTATTCTTTTGAATTTCCACCAACAAAAAGTGCCAAACAACTGAAAGAAGAATGGGAAAAGGCTGGCCCTCGTCCCAGGCCTCTTCCTCCTCCTCCGGGCCGGCCTTTATACCGACATGAAAAAGAAGGTTGGTATGGCTGGATTGCTGAGAAGGATAAGGAGCCAGAGCCCTCGCCCAATGATTTGAGAGCCCGAGCGCACCGTTTACTGTCCGATGCTCTGGATTATATTGTCTCTGTAGAAGCTGATGCATTCTTTCCTGGTTTTAACGATGATAGCAGATCGTCAGACTTTTCCAGCTTGGTTATGGGACACCGTCTCTATGAGATGGCATCTAGCAGAACATATCGACCTAACAGGTAAATTGTCATATTACTGAATTTGGCGAGTCAGATACATGAAATTATTTATAGTTCTAGTTCTGATCTTGTGAAATTTGAGACACGAGAAAAGTCATCTTTATTCTCCATCTTTTAATATCAATTCCAATTTCTTGGTTTGGTGAAAGTTATAAGTTATGCGTCATATCAGTTTTTCCACTGATCATTATGGTGGTTTCTTGCAGGAATAAAGTGATTTATTTGGTTTTGAAATGGTTTAAATTTTCTTGCAAGCCGTCTTCTAATTATGTCTCGGTTTTCTAATATTTACAATATACTTCATTTAGCCTCATCTTCTTGATCCTTACTTTGCTGATCATCCATTTAGGGAATTTCTTGTTAAACTCTTGAATACTACCGGCAATAATCTTTACCGTCCTCCACATCCACACAATTGGACCTTCTCCGTAAGAGAGCATCTTAACAAAAGTGCAGCCGAGGAGGGCGTTATGCGGGAATTTCATCTATCAAGACCGAATTCTTTCCTTTCTCACCCCATCCCCGAATGCTCATGTACAACTGTCAAGACTGACGAGATCCCACATTCACAGAAGGACAGTGACATCCATATTCTGTATGGGCAACTAGAAAAGTGCCCCAAATGGATCGAGCAAGGTCTGACAGCAGCCGGATCACAAGAGAACATTGCTTATGAGACTGATACGCTAGATGATGAACCGGATCTGTTACAACTGGAATCGGATGGAAATAACGAAGTTGACACCATCCCTTCCTTGGAACAGGACGAGGAAATGGATCCCAACGATTAAGATTGTTGCTCTGATATCACTTGATTGTTTCAACTTTGAAGTTCGTATCCAACAGAAACCTGACAGGACAAACATTTCTTTATAGTGTGTTCGTTGTGAATTTTGTAGGATCAAAATACACAGGCTCTTCTAACAGAAGTGTAGGTGAATACATGCAGCATATATTTGAGAAATTTGTTTCTTTTCTCCCTTTTTTGACATATAGAAGGATAAAAATGTTATATTCACTCACATATTTTACAGACAAATAACTTGAAAATCATTTGTATAATTTTCTGTTTTTGATATAGTAATTCAGCATTTATTTTTAGTTTCTCCCTCCCCCCAGGTTTACAATGTCCATTCCGTGTAAGTTTGGATAATCTGGGTCAATCATGATCGATGTCCATAACGGCCTATTTTTCCTAGCTATGTCATTCCAAATAAACCATTCTTTTACTAGACGTAAACCTTCCCAAGTTGTCCTATTCGCAAGAGGGCCACCTAGGTGTATGCTAATTGTAACAACCACGTTGATTGAGTTCACCCTTAATTTTAACTTAGGCATTACTAGAATATTTTTAGTCTTTTATGTTAGCAAAAATTCATGTAATTCAATAATATTCAAAAAAATAATGCTGTGTGTTAGTGATTAATACTAATTTATATTACAATGGGCATGGGCGACCCGGGGGGTACTGGGGGGCAGGTGCCCCCATTTTTTGAGTTTTTTTTAAAAATATAAAATCATGTTTGGTATCAATTGAAATATAAATTTTAACTTAAATCAAAATTAACAATTAATTTTAATAACATATTTCATCAAATCCATAACTATTTAACTTTTATCAAAATTTACTAAAAATTTAATTTTAATCTCCATCAAACATGGGCAAAATTATAATAAATTATAATTTTTTTCTTTTTCTTTCTTCTTTAAACAAAATCTTAACTCTCCATCAAATAAGGGCGAAATATTGCATTCTTAATATCATTTCAAAGTGTTCACGGTTTAGTTTTCTATGTCGTTAATGACATACGAAACGATCAATCGTAGCAAATACTACGACTTGTCAAAGTAAGCTGTTCAAAATTAGTATTTCGAAAATTTCGATAATATGCTAACTATAAAAATTTTTCGACGATCGTACGCTAATCAAATCTACAAATTGTTTATGTCATCTCAAAATTTATTTCGAGAACTATATTATTGGCATATCAAATAATCCAAACAGATATTGAAAATAGTTAAAAATGCATTAAACGTGAGTTTTAAAGAAAGACGTTTAACTTGCGTTTTCTTTAAAAAAATTCAATTATTTCATTAACATTTATTATTTTTGCAATACAAATTTCTCAAATGTAATTTTCATCATTTTATTAGGAAATTTTATATGGAATATGACGTAAAATTTTATATCTGGAAAAGTCATATCTCATGTAAATTTTCGGTTGCAAAATTGCATGCGGTATGATTTTTTTGGACGTAAATTTTCGTTTGTAAAATTTCTCACAATTTATTTACAAGTTCGATTGTGCTCTCCCAACTTTCAAGTTTTGCGTCCGGCCTTGACAACGGGTTACTGTAATATTTTTCATTGAATAAAAGTTTATCATAATTTTATTAACTACTGTGACAGTGGTCCAAAAGTTACGTCCTATTTTATTCAAAGTTTTGATTTGACAATTTGAACTCTTTGAATCCATGTGAAAGTAGGACTTAAAAGGGACAATCTTGCAGTTTCTTTTTTAAGAATATTGAGATTTGACCCTAAAAAAAGTTGAAAATTACACTAATTCTAATTAATCTAGATCGGTTAGAATGCATTCTTTTGGTTCAATTTAATTTTGTTGACCAAAAGATCTAGTTTTATTTGATTAATTAATAACAATAATAATTTGGAATTGCCTCCATTTTTCAATTTATTGTTGATTTTCTCTTTAAAACAAAATTAATAATCAAACTATGCATACCAATGGTTTGAATATAATGGTAAGGCTTGTGGGATTGAAATTGGAGGATCAGATGCCGGTATGACGATTGGGGTCTTACCGAGGCTTGGTCTTCGACCAGCCAAGTTGTAGATTAATTTTGGAACTGAGAACTCAATTTCCTTTACTTTAGGGCGCCACGTTTGTTCTTATTGGTATGTTGTTTGGCGCGGGATTGTTGTTGTCCATCGTCTGTACTTAAGTCAAATAAATAGAGTTATTGTTTAAGCATGGGGAGTGCTTTAATTAACACTTCAAGCAAACCTTTGTTTCAAGTAAATCAAGTAAATTTCACTAATGCTGCAACTTTTCTTCTTTAGCTCATGAACAATCACATTCAGTAGCAAGCAGAAATAAAAGGGATCACTTTCATACTTCTCACAAAAGTTACTTGGCTTTTCCCTTTGATTTTATATCAAATATGCCATACTTGCAGTTTTTATGTGATAGAAAAAGCTAAGGATCCGTTTGATTGTAAGGATGGAAAATGGGTGGAAAGAAAATAATTTTCAGGGAAAATAATTGTCTAGAAATTGTTTTGTAGGGAATTATTAATTAAGTGTGCTTGATTGGTATAATTTTTCATTCGGAAAATTTTAAAATTTTGTATTTGTTTGGTTTTGTTTTACGTGGAAATTATCCATTAAAATGATAATTTTTTCTTCAATTGCTTATAAAATTTGTTTCCATTGCCAAAAAGTAAAAAAAAAAAAATGAAAAAAAATTGTTTCCTAAAAAAATCATTTTTTTAATTAAAATTTAGTGTTCGTTTGACTTTGTTTTACATGGAAATTGTCCATTAAAGTGATTTTTTTACAATTAGTTATGACATTTGTTTTCATTGCAAAAAAATAAAAAATAAAAAAATTTGCAGCAGCCAGTTGGAAAATATTTTGGTGGGAAAATATGTTCAAGCAAAACGAGGAAAAAAGTGACGTGACGGGTGGGGAGCGAAAATTTAGACTATCAAACAGCGCAAAAGATGGAAAATGAAAAAAAATTTCCTAGTTCCATGGAAAATTTTGTATATCAAACATGGCCTAAATGACTTGCAAACTAGTTGCAATTGAGACGTCGACTTTTGGGACATGTTAATTTGATATATTACACTATAGAATTATACAAGACAATAGATAAAAATTGATCATTTACATTTTTCGACACTTTTCAGTCTTGTTCAATCCTCAACATAAAACGCAGAGGGAATTATTCATTTGGATTGGCACGAGACTCAAAGCGAGTTCTATTTGGTCCAGTTAGAAAATTAGATTAAAATTTCAGTTAAATCCAACAATTAATTTTAACTACACATTTCATAGAAACGACGACTTTTTAACTAGACAGTCCATCAATTTTTTTTTTCAAAATGTACTAAAAATTTGATTTTTATCTAAAATGAACACGGACCTAATTTATCTGGTCACGATTCATGTTGTTCAATTCAAAGGTGTCTGCCACATTTTCCATTTTTGGCTGTCTATGCATTTCAAGAAGAAAAGTTTATGATTTTACTGGTAAATCTCATTTTTTATTCTTAAATGAGGGTTTTTCTTTCAATGTTTTGACGAGACAATTTGATCATTGCGAGGGCCATGTGAAAATAGGAACTAAAGGGGGTGAATAAATAGACTTCAAAACTTCTTGCAGGGACATTTTAGGGGAAGTTTATCTTTTTCAAGTAAAATTTGAAAAGAAATTTCAGTCAAATAATGACTTCAAAATATTGAAATTAGCCGTGATGAAAATTACGCGTATTGTGACAGATCTAAAATCTCAATATTTTACATCACGATTTGATCGAAACTTCTCGGTTCGCCAAAGGTGTGAACAATTTCAAGTGAATTATTGAACTTATTCACAAATGAGTTTAATGGATTTTTTTTTTTTTTTTGG